TCTCTGTCTATCTGTCTATCTCTCTCTCCTCTCTCTTCCTTTCTCTCTTTCTCTCTCTCTCTCTCTCTCTCTCTCTCCCTCCCTCCCTCTCTCTCGTTCTCTCTCGTTCTCTCTTTCTCTCTCTCTCTCCCTCCCTCTCCCTCCCTCTCCCTCTCTCTCCCTCCCTCAACCTCTCTCTCTCTCTCTCCTGACCCAATTGACATAAGTGGACAGTAAGTGTAGAGTATTATGTTTGGTGGCATTGCGTCTCTGGGTTGTAATTATCCTCCTGCCTCCCCCACTCGTTGTTGTGATTTGTTTTTGGCTGTGCACATTTTCTGCTGCCTCGTTGTGAGCTGTCTGTCTTTCACAGTTAACTTGTAAGACTATATGCACATTCAATGAGGAATACGTCTGTTATCCGTCGTTGAATGTGGCCTAATTTTTAGGCAAGGGTTGACTGGACTGAATGGCTTATCAGTGTGTACCCTGAACGTCGTGGCTTTTCCCCCTCCCCACTCGTGCCTTGCCGTTGCTATCTGGTCCCTTCGTCATTTGTTTCACAAAAATAATGTGCTCTTCGTTCATAGATGTGTGGGAATGTACAAGCTTGAGAATGTGATTGATTGTGTTTAGAAATGCGCAGGATTGATTTTCTTTTCTTTTTTCTTTTTTCTTTTGCTCATGCACACTTGCTGACGTCAAACAGGTAATCAAGCCCACACTTTCTCACAATTCCCCTCCGAGAACTAGATGACACTGGTTGGTTGGTTGGTTGGTTGAGAGTGGTGACCAACGGGGCGGCGGAAAGCCCAGAGAAGGACACTGTGAACGGGGAGCAAAGAGATTCTACAAAAGCGATTTTGTTAAAATGGACATATTTTATTTTTTGAACGAAACTGAAATCTCATCTTTTAGCCCAAAATTGAAAATTCGTGAAATTGAGGGCACGGGTACGGCATTCTGAAATCACCCTACCCCCTCGATGTCTCTGGAAGTCCACATACATCCAAGGGGTCCGGCGTTTTCCGGCCTGGATGTACCAGATACATCGAGGAGGTAGGCGTTTTGAGAGCGCCGTACCCTCAATTTCATGACTTTCGGGCCAAAAAATGAGATTTCAATTTCGTTCAAAGAAATAAAATATGTCCATTTTAGCTAGGCTACCTGATCGGACGTCCGGGACCCCCCTGACCGTCCGGGGTTATCCGATCGGACAACTGGTCGGACATCCTCCCCGGGCAGTCTGTCCGAGTCCGAATGGCAAAAAAAAAAAAAAAAAAAAAAAAAACTTAAAAACATCCGAAAAAAAAACTAGGCTATGCAGAAAAACAAACTGAACAACGAAATTCGTTGTCAAATTTAAAATAAAATTAAAATTAAAGACATGCCCATTTTTTTTTATTTTTTTTTTCGTGCTTTTAACTGCTAAAAATGGAGTCGTCCGGACCCGGACGTCGGGGATCCCCCTGACTGTCCGGCCAGGACGTCCTGCCATCCGACAACTGGTAACATAGCATTTTAATTTTTAACGAAATTGAATTGCCGTTCTACCATCTTCACCCGAATAGAATGCCCGGTCATTATGTGAAAGCTGAAGAATGCGGGGTCATTATAGCCGCGTACTCGGTGCAACTGTCGGTCTACGTACAGCGATAATGCCCGAGCATTCTATTCGGGTGAAGACGGTGGTCTTTGAACAGCAGCAGCCGTGGTGGCTGAACCGTGCGTAGCATAGTGTTCGGGTTCGGTGAAGACTGAACCCGAATGTTTGCGACCGAACGCGAACAAGCGCCACAACCCTCCGAATGCGAACATTAAAAAAACAACAAATCTCAGAAAAATCGAAAAAAAAAAAGGTTATCAATGTTATGTAAAATAATAATACAAACAACTTTTGCCCTGCGAGCCGTGTTCACGTTCGGGAGGCGGCGTTCGGTCGAACACCCGAACGTGTTCGGGCGTTTGCCAAAGTCCCGAACACATTCAGTGGGCTACACAGGCTGCTCCATCATCTCGTCGTCTTCAGGTGATGAACTGAACAGTTTCCCTTTTGGATGACCTAGGAAATACCGGTGAAAGGAATCGACGAATTGAGGGTGTGCTCACACTACAACTTTTTTCAAATTCTCTGTGGATGTAGTTGTGGTCAGGTGCATTGAGGCCGAATCGGAAAAGTGGCCATATGCATCCAGGAAAGTGTTGGTGTGAATATGCCCTGACTGGCAGCAGTTTCTCCTACTGGCACCAAAAAGTGAGGCATATAGTGAGCACCCTGTAACGCCTCGGCCTACAGCTCAAGTCTATGCCAAGAACCTACAGGAGTATCGAGCTGCCCACCCGGGCTCAAAAGAGTTGAAGACTCGAACCTGTCCCTTTTTCTTTCTTTTTTTCTTGTTAATTTGAGCGGACCAGCCCTAGATTATTCAGAGGTACTCGTTTGCGTCGAGTGTCAAACTTGGCAGCGGGTCTGTATTCAACAGTTCATGGGTGTATATACAACAACTGAGTTAGGCCAGTCGGTAAGGCTCGAGAGTCGAAACCCAGCGGCTGTGCTAGGGGAATATGACTGAAACTAAATGCATCTGGTCAGGGAGGGAGTCCAGGCAGCAACGATCACCGCCAAAAGTATGCAGTGCGGTTAGGATAAGGTGAACAGATTCTAAAGAACTGAACTGAGCACGGTTACAGCTTTGGGGGCATTTTAGCGAAAGACGGTTACATGGTTGGGGGCATTTGAGCAGAAGACGGTTACAGGGTGGGGGGGCATTTTAGCAAAAGACGGTTACAGGGCGGGGGGGCATTTTAGCAAAAGACGGTTACAGTGTTGGGGGCATTTTCGCAAAAGACGGTTATAGGGTTGGGGGCATTTTAGCAAACGACGGTTACAGGGTTGGGGGCATTTTAGCAAAAGGTCAGATGGTTGTCGCATGGCCAAGGAGGGAGGGGGCTTGTACAGTTCCACTTGGAATCAGGTTCTGGAGCGATTCTGTCTTTGGTCCGGTTACTGGTACTGTGTGTTTTCAGGGGTGGGGTTGGGGGGCAGTCTTGCTAGAAGAGGTGGGCGACCCCATGTGGAGGTTAGGGTTTTTGATACTATACAACCTGGGATTTTAATTATGTTTTTTTGAAAATCTTGGACCATTTCTGGACTTGTGCGTGTCGTCCCTGTGCAGGGGACATGCCATTTTTTTTTTTTCTTTTCTTTTTATTCAATGTAGCATACCAATGTCAATGGGATGTACCGAAGGATATTCAATCTGGGATCTAAGTTTTCATTTGCTTTGAGCTTGCTTGCTGTTTTCTGTGGCCACCGCTGAGTCACTGGTGAATTTTCTTCTTCAGTTTCTGTCTGATCTGCGGTGAATGCACTGTATCTGGCGTAGTCTGTGGGAAATCACAGGTTACACTAAACAGGTTGCAGGCTAGCTATCAAAGCGCTATATATATATATCATCAAGCAGAGCTGCCTGGTAAACCGTAGGCAGAGAGGGAGAAGTGGACAACAAACGAGGGGCTGTGACAAATTGTTTCGCCGGAGTTTCATCGACTCATATGTTGTCCTCTTCTCTCTCTCTGCCTACGGTTTACCGGGCAGTTCTGTTTGTGGCGATATATATCGTCAAATAGAACTGCCCGGTAAAGCGTAGGCAGAGAGGGAGAAGAGGACAACAAACGAGGGGCTGTGACAAACTGTTTCGTCGGAGTTTCACCGACTCATCAGGAGGCTGAACCCTCAACAGTCTGTAGAATCCCCTCACTGATTACACTGTAAGTGATAATCCACCTTAACCAAAATCAAAGTAGACTATCACTCACCCACACCATATATATAAAACTCCGACGTAACAGTTTGCCACAGCCCCTCGTTTGTTGTCCTCTTCTCCCTCTCTGCCTACGGTTTACCGGGCAGCTATATTCAGCCTCCTCATGAGTCGGTGAAACTCCGATGAAGCGGTTTGTCACAGCCCCTCGTTTGTTGTCCTCTTCTCCCTATCTGCCTACTGTTTACCACTGCCATCTTTGGCGATTTTTCATTTTTTGTTGGCTTAGGCATGTACCTCACATCATAAAGAACTCACAAAAAAAAAATAAACAAATAAAATAAAATTAGGCCCGGAAATAATTTTTGGTGGGGCTCGAACCCCTTTATGTTTGGACCCTTAACGGGACCCTGAACGCCAGAGCGTATGGAGGTCTGCCCGGGGGCCTCCGCACGTACGGGCTGGTAACCCTGTATATAGAGGTCTGGCCCCCCATACGATCCATTTCACTACTATGTATACTAGTCTTTCTCATCAACGGATTCTTGACAACTAAGGCTGTTGATGAGGTACATGCCTATGCTCTTGCACAGGCGCATCAGCATACACGGACATGCGCATCCTGTGTTGCTCTTCGTATGGTCGTCGGTGGACCGCCGCGGATACTGGAATGGACTACGGATACCGAAGGATATTCAGATTTGACGCTCTTTCTGTGTCTGCCATTCTTCAACATCTTCGGTTTATTGTTACTAATACATATATATATTTATATATATATCGTTACAAACAGAACTGCCCAGTAAACCGTAGGCAGAGAGAGAGAAGAGGACAACAAATGAGGGGCTGTGACAAACTGTTTCGTCGGAGTTATATACGAAACAGTTTGTCACAGCCCCT